GGGTTGCGACACGTGATGTGGGACCCTTGCCAAATGCTCCCTGTCTTTTCGATCTGTTGACCCTCGTCAACAAGCATGAATAAAACCCATACACTCATTACATTCGTTCCTGTTCCTGGTATAAATTATTAATAAATAATAAATAAATTAGCGAAATAAACTTTTTGAAAGTAAATCACCAAACTTTAATAGATTCATAAATTATATATGCTTGTTGACTAAATTAAACCGTCTAAACATACCTCTCATCTAACTTCCGAATTACCTCGCCGATTATCAAATTAATTTAGTATGCTGCAGAGCTAAACGTGAAGGTGTACTTTCTAAATTTTTATGTCATAATCCTGTGAATTCATTTCTGTGATAGCGGATCGTTTTAATAAGACTTTACTGATGAGATGATCTGCAAAAATCAGCCAATCAAAATAAATGTTCGCTATACTTAGGATTTAAAGAACATGTATAATGATTAGCGATTAATAATTAGCGATTAACATTTAACGATTAATTATTAATGATTAACGATTAATGATTAACGATTAACGATTACAATTAACGATTAACGATTAGCCCAACAGATATAAAAGGTTGTAAATTTTCCCAAGTAAACATTAGACACAGACTTCTCTCTTCTTTTAAATTCTTCCTTGTAATATTCTAGGATTCTTTAGGGATAGAAACCTAAAGATAGCCTATTATTATATTTATCATTAAACTTATATTTATAAACTATTGTCTGCCCAAACTGCCATAGAAAGAAGGGTATAGTTTCTCATAGACGTAGAAATTATACTTACCTTTTAAACACCGCTATAAACCAACACGAGTCCCTATAGCTGTGTCATTGTTATAGTACGACTGTTAAAAAGGCCACAGTACTGTAATACAATATTATTATTTGAACTTAATACTATTTTTTCGTGCTATATCACACAAGGTTTCATCAGCATGATGGCTACACAAAGATGTTAACTTTGCATATACACTGATAATATGTTAGTTTTAATGATGAAAATTTTTATATGCATTCTGAAGTTTAATATGTAGCTTTTTTTTTTTTTAACTTGATATAGGAGCAAATAAAACAGATAAGGAACAACCGTTTAGTCAAGAACAGATTAAAGACAATATTATGGTATATGTTTATTATTAAGCAAACCAATTTTTATAAATTATTTTTAATATTTCTCACTATGGATTTTTTCTAGAAACTGGTTAGACAAATGAAACCTACGCTTCTGTTAAGTGTTGAAAATAAGTGTAAAGAATTTGTATCAAATTTTTCTGATTATAATTATAGCGGATTTTCGGAAAAATTGATTCATGATGGGGCATAGAAAGAATCTGAAAATAAAATTTTATTCATCGTATCTGAAATCTTTAACACTATGAAAGACGTTTGGAATAATTCAGCTCTTAACTTTGAAGTGGCTGGAGCGTTAAATGAGGGAACTTATCAATCTACTGTTATTGTACCATTTGAGCTGCACTAAAAAATCTTCCCTTTAGATTTTCATTTATTAGCATATTGGAAAGAGAAAGTATTGCTAGTGCAGATAGAAAAGGAGATGGTCAAGTGGGAAAACGTCCAGATATCATGTTCATGGTGAAACATTTGGATGCGTTCTTCGAAATTATGTATGTCGAATGCTCAAGATTGGTTTGTACACCTCAAAAAAAGGTGAATGATGATATTAAGTTATGGAGTGAATGTAATGATGGGATGTATTATACACGAAAAACTCTTCATCCAGATAAAGATCAATTTGGAATTGTTGGGATACAAATAGCAGAAGATACTTTATATCTAAATGTTCTTATTAGGGATAAACTGAATATTGATAGATATTATAAGATAGAATTGGCAAAAATCCTTGTGCAAAAATCAGATGAAACTATTGTAATTAAATTTGTAGAAACCCTTCTCATTTTATGTAACATAATAATTACAAATTTGTCTTTATTATATCATGCGTAAAAAAGATAGTACGACTGTAAATTCTGAATAATATTTATTCTTTCCTGTATTTATTCTTATTATATCAATAAAAAATTAAAACCTAACAGTCTAAGTTCGTAAGTTTTGCGTTATTTGAAAACTTCTAATTTGTGTTATAATGCTATCTTTTTATTACTATAGGGTATGCTAGACAATGTTTAAAAGACATGGGTCTAATACCCTTTATAAAACTTACTATTTTAACTAGTACACTTCTGGATGCATAAATTACAACCTAATAAGATATCGCGAATTGGTCACATAGTGAAAACAAAAGAGGATCAAAACTTATTTGTATACAGAGTGTCTAGCTATTTCTAGCATCTAAAATAGCACTAGTGATATCACGAAAACAGCCAAATTAAAATTCGATAAAATTTTCCTTATTTTATTTTATAATCGAATTAAAATAGAATAAATCTGGTTGAATTTGTTATCGCATATGGTTGTCGTAATATCGTTAGTACTATTTTAGATGCTAGAAATAGCTGGACACTCTGTTTGTATATGACAAACTGTAATAGAAAATAATTTTAAGAATTCAGGATCCAAGTCGGGTTCATACTCAAAATCATTTTATCAAAATCCAAAGAAACCAGTGAAGCATTTTTGCAAAGTGCACCTACTAAATACTTTTTCAATGCCTAATCTCTGCTAAGAATTAAATAGGTCAGCGAGGCATTTTGCAAAGTGCATCCGCCTCTTTCTGATCTCAGATTATACTAATTATTCCAACTATTCCTATAAGAATATTCAATACCCAATTATTCCCTCCAAGATTCGAAGAAGTCAGTCTGGTATTTTTGCAAGCATATATGTTAATGCTCTATTTATTCGTATATTTTTCTGATCCACATTTACGAGCAAGATTTTTTTTTTTTTTGGCTGTTCTTGAGAGTTCCATAAATTTTAAGTGCTTTGAAAAATTTGCCTTTCTCAAAACATTTATATACTTCTTTTTTCCCATTCTCAAGAATATTATTGTCTTATGTCGAAAAACTTGAATCTATTATATCAGGTAAGTAAGAAGATTATGTCATAATATCAAGTGAATCTGCAGGTTACCTTGATAGCTTTGCTATTTTGAGCAGACATTTCGATAGAATGATGAAAACTCAAGTTTTTTCAATGTTGTTATGAATAAATTGCCTTAAAAGTATTGATAATTAATTTTATTTCTGGGTAATTAATAGGATTATTGCCTCAACGCTGTTTGTAATGCTTAATATGTTGATGTGATGTATCTTTTTAGGCTCTCCTCTCTTTTCGCATTTATATCCTTGGTTAATAGGACGTTAAGGCTTGATGTATGCTGACATTCCATAAACCACTGAGTTTGAGGTCATGGAAATTTATCTGTTTTGACCGCCAAATATACAATTTTTGTTGTCTTTGATGAATTAAGATATTTCTCGAATGAAATCTCTATAATATTGTAGTGTAGAAACAAAAACATGTAGTATCTCTTTAGAAATTTCTTATTTTATAATAAAATTTCAGATTTGTGTAAGCGTAAATTTCAAATACCTTGATTAAAGAGTTGAAAGATTACATTAGCAAGTTGTCTTTTTATAAACTTCATGTAGCTCTATAAAGTTATATAAATATTATAGAAAAATTTTATATAAGTCTACAAACTCAATGTAGGCTTATATATTTAATAAGTAATTTAATTTACTTCAATTATTTCTCAAAAATGACCAAGGTATTACCGATCGATGCACTAAGTAAAATGTTCAGCCTGCTCGAAACTCTTTCTTAAACTCTAATTTAAACTTTAAAATCTAATCCTAACTTTAATATTTACATCACAAAAATAATAATAAAATAAAAACTAGATAAGATAAAGACTAATACTAATACTAAATAATTATAAAACAGCCTTGAACAAACATGCACTCATGCATAACAGGAAGATAACAGAAGTAGCACAAGTTAAATAATACAAAATAAAGAAGAAAAAAGTAACAAACCAGAACAGCAATATTAAGGAAAGTTTTTCCAACTTACAAGAAAAAGTTTTCTTACATAACCTTCTTAAGAAAGTTCTAATAAATATGATCATGCACAACACAACAATAGTCAGGAAAACTACAGCAAAGACACAAACAACTTGGTTTTCTACTAGTAATAATAAAAAAAGATGCATTGTTACCCTCATCACTCTTGTTGGTACAAAAAGTAGGTAGCACAATTCATCACTAAAGAATTCCAAAATGACATCATTAGGTACATAAAAAGTTACAACAACAAACTCAATCAACAAAAATAACAAAATGCAAATCAGTACAGATGATAACAACACAACAAATACCATAAACAGCAATATACTAGTCAACAATAATTTAGGTATTTCAGAGTCATAAGACCTTAGTTTAGACAAAATCAATATCCAGAATATACAAATAAATAAAACTAATATAAATAGAAAAAATCATATTGGCTAATTGATGTAATACCCCAAATTTGATTTACTAGTAGATTATATACAATTTAAAGCAAAACATAATACAAAAGCTGATATACAAATGCAAAGATTATAAAAATTAGCAAGTATATAGCTCACACTTAAAGGAGTTTATACACAATATAATCAAAGGATTGGTAAGATAATCAAATCATTTACATATAATAAAACTTCAAGTAGCAAATTTAAAATAGATCTATTCTAAGATATAGAAGTTCAACTAACAACTTAAAAACAACTATTAATTTTATTTTAACGATTTTGAAGTTTTTTTGCTCATGTATTACTTATTTACTAATCTGTATTTTGATTATTTTATAGTTTATTTAAGTAAATAAAATTATGATACATTAGCTTTAGGTTAAAAATTTTATTAATATAGACAAATTAATATTTATGGTTTATATTAAATATTTTTTTTTTATCATAAAAAGAGTTATATAATAAAAAGATTATTCAAAAACAGTAGCATTGTTTGTTGAGGTCCATAATATTGAAACAGTTAGTAAATTTATTATTAAGTTTCAAATTTTATATCTATATATTATTTAGCTATGCAATACTACTAAGTTTTGAATATTCTCAATTTGTAAAGTTCATAAGTACTATATAATATTATATGCAATACTTTAGTCTTATTCAAAAAAGTCAAGTATTAAATATGTAGTTGGAGAATCATTGATTTGAGTCATGAATGTAATATATATCAATTTGTCTTATAATATTGGAACAAACTATTGAATTTATCAATTTCTTGTATATGCACCTTTGAATACATTAGTTATCAGAATTGGAAGTAGTACTTGACAAAATTGAATAAAACTCAAGAGTTTTTGATTTCAGACAATCAGCATTTATATAATATAGTATTAAAATAGATTTTGATTATCTGAAATCAAAAACTTGAAAATTGAGTTTTATTCGATTTTGCCAAGCATTAATTAGAAGTAACGCCAAGTATAATTCTGGTAAGAGATTTTTTGTTAGTAATTAAAAGATTGTTTATAGATGGATAAGATAATTAATAATTTTTTTTTTTTAAAAAAAAAAGTGCCTGCTTTTAGACAAATCTGTTGAATACGTATGTATATAAATAAAAAACTTCTAATCCAATTGGCCATTTAATTAGTACTGAGTACTAGATACTTTTCAAAAATGATAAAATCTACAATTGAATAGTATATAAAATTATTTAAAAAGGATATTTACGAGAAGGTCCTATATTCAACATGGTGAATTGTAGGTAACATAGTATTATAGTACTAAGTCATGAGTTTTACTATTTAAACTTTTCGCAATTTATAATATTCAGACAAATAGCTTTACTATGTCTCGAATTCAAATATGTATCAAATAAATATTATATTGCAATATCTGAATAAATGTTGTAAAATTTAAAAATACAAAATACAGTCTAAACTATTTTATCAATATTATAAAAATCCAAATATTACAAAGTAGCATACTGCTAAAGCATATATTACAAAGCAGACATTCCTACTTATACCATTGTTTTAAAGACCAAATTCCTGATAAAATAATTATAGTATTACTTTAGTGAAAATTAAAAGTTATCAACCATTTTTATAATAAAATAAAATTGTTTATGATATGATTTCTTGAAAGCTATTTTCTTGAAAAGCAAGCTGGCATTAATTATAATATCGACTAATTTAGTGTTCTCTTGAGAAAATGACTTTCAGAAAACTATTTTATAATCTATAAAACCAAGTTGAAATATATATCATAAGCAATGACATCTAATTGAATAATTCTATGTAGTTTTTATATTTTCTAGCAGAAAGGTATTGAAATTCACTACATCTTATTGAAATTATGTTATCTTTTGTTAATAAATAGGAAGCATGAAAGTCAAGTTTTTCACTATTAATAAAAATCCCAGAATCAGAACCTAAATCAATAATTTCGACTTGTATTAATGTATAGCTTTTAATTATACTTATCATATTAACAATTCTTTAGAACATAAAGTAGTAAAAGTTTACTTTTTTTAACATATCGATTTTCGATTTTATCCTAGTCACAGATTCGGTAAACATAAATATAAAGTATTTTAATTAGAAGAATTAAAGTTGGTAGAAGAATTACTAAATAATAGCATTTTACCAATGGTAGAATTAATTAGGCATGCATCTAATTTTATATCAAATTCACCTTCGTAAAGCCCTAATGCCATAATGTCATAATATTGTAATGCAGCAATGCCATATAATTAAACTCATTACCATTAGCTTTCGCACCAAACTCTTCTTTTCTGAGTTCATTAAATAAAATTTATTAATCATAAAATATTTTTATTTACACTTTAAATAGAAAGTAAATAACTTTTATACTTACTAGTAAATGAAATGCTTGTATAGTATATAATGACATATTCATCAGTTTCTGATTTGGAGTGACTGTGTCTTGTAGTTACTTAATTATAGCATTATAATATTATAGTGTTATAGTAATAGTTATACCTTAAGCAAAAAATAGAAGAAAAATACAT